CTCTACTTGGTCGATCGCATAGGCCTGCCTACCTTCATGAGTCGGAACATCGTGATCAGCGCATATCACTACCTCTTACCAATACCCCTAATCAAGCAAGACGTGTTGTAGGAGATGCAAGCCATCATTTTAAGGCGTTCGCGGCGCGTGATTCAGATTACCGACCACCCTTCTCGAGTATTGCAGCTCAAATAGACAACATCAAGCCGAGTCCAAGCTCCCAGTCAATATTTGAGCGTCGTGGTGGATCGAGTAGAATAGGAGAATTACAACCTGGAGCGCAAATGATGACGCCTCCTTTTTACACCGGTTGGTCAAAAGTCATCTTTGGCTTTATAATATACTAACTATAGATGAAAGCTCCAAACTCAAATGTAGCGTTTGAAAGCTCGCTCACTAGCAGCTCCCCTACAATTATTGGCGGATCTAGCCCTTCTATACGTCCTAGCCTCAAACAAAAGGCTAAAGTAGCTAACAGTCCTCTTGTATCTCATAAAAGAGCAAGCCGGTTAGATTTAAACCTCAACCATGCTCCGGATGAGCCGCCTATTGTGAATTCCACTCGCCTAATCGATCCAAGGCAGGCACTGCCTGACAAGTTCCGGGCTGTTTTCCCTTACGAGCTCTTCAACGTTGTCCAATCTAGATGCTTTCCACTTGTATACGGCACAAACGATAATGTTGTCGTCTCGGCCCCGACGGGGTCTGGCAAGACAGCTATTCTAGAAATGGCTATCTGCAAGCTTGTAATGAGCCCAGGTAGTGAGAATTACAAAATTGTCTATCAGGCGCCAACAAAGTCCTTATGTTCGGAGCGAGCGAAAGACTGGCAAAATAAATTCAGTCATATGAATCTAGAATGTATCGAACTTACCGGCGATACTTCACAAACAAAGGCGAGTCGAGTAGGTAGTGCATCAATTATCGTCACTACCCCTGAGAAGTGGGATTCTATAACCAGAAAGTGGTCAGATCATCGGAAACTACTGGAGATGGTCCGCTTAGTTCTAATTGACGAAGTACATATTCTGAAAGACGTCCGCGGCGCCACATTGGAAGCTGTAGTTTCTCGTATGAAAACTATTGGGGCAAATATCCGATTTATTGCTTTAAGTGCTACCGTCCCAAACATCGAAGATATTGCGAAGTGGCTCGGACGAGACCATTCAAATCAACATGACGCAGCCCGGACTGAGGCATTTGGCGAGGAGCTACGGCCAGTCAAACTACAGCGATATGTTTACGGATACGAGGGTTGCTCGAATGATTTTTCATTCGAAAAGTCTCTCGACGGGAAGCTGGCTATGCTACTTGCGAAGCATTCAGAGAAGAAGCCAATCATGATATTCTGCTTTACCCGAAAGTCGTGCGAGCTAACGGCTCGGAAGCTAGCTGAATGGTGGTCAACCTGCAGCGTGGAAGACCGGGCTTGGCCAGCACCGACAAGGCGAGTCTCAGTAACAAGCGCAGAGCTCCAGGAGATCACACGATATGGTGTGGCTTTTCACCACGCGGGTCTCGACACACAGGATAGGTTAGCGGTAGCACAGAACTTCCTCGATGGCCAGATTCATGTTATCTGTTGCACATCGACCTTAGCAGTTGGAGTGAACCTCCCTTGTCACACCGTGGTTCTAAAGGGAACAGTTGCGTACTCCGAAAATAAGCTTCAGGAATATTCAAACCTGGAGGTTATGCAAATGCTTGGTCGTGCTGGTCGACCACAATTTGACGATAGTGCTGTGGCCATTATTATGACTCGAAAAACAAACGTTGATCGATATAAAAGCATGATATCTGGGGATGAGACTTTAGAAAGCACGCTTCATCGAAACCTTGTCGAACATCTCAACTCCGAAATCAGCTTGGGTACGATCCAAGACGTTCAGACTGCGAAGAAATGGATTGGAGGAACATTCCTCAGCGTACGAGTACGCCAATCTCCGTCACTCTATCACCTTGAAGATGTCCGCAATGCCGAAGACGCCGACAAGAGGATGGAAGAATGGTGCGAACGTGATCTCAGGTTACTACAGCAAAACGGGTTAGTTACCGGGCAAGTTCCATTTAGGTGTACAGAATATGGACACGCTATGTCAAGGTACATGGTCAACTTCGAAACTATGAAGGAGCTCCTATCAATTCCTCGGGGTGCGGCACTTCAAGAGACAGTAGGTTTGAAATCGTCAAGCCTCAATGCCTAGCGGCGGACCGCTGACTAAGTTTATAGCTCGCTACGCTCTGTAAGGCTGTAGAGTTCAAAGACTTCCGATTCAAGCCCGACGAGCGCGCCGTATTCAGAGACCTGAATAAATCCCCTTTTATCCTCCATCCGATCAAGGAGACTTTGACGCAGACCTGGCATAAAATTTTCGTCATGATCCAGGTCCACCTTGGGGGTGTGGAGCTGCCAAACGAAAAGGGGATCGGCCTTCTTAAGCAAAAAATTGCGATGGACAAAGCTGCTATATTCGACAGAATGAATCGCCTAGTACGCTGCTTTGTAGATTGTCGTGCATTTGATGGCGATGGGTTAGGTACAAATATCGGCCTTGAACTTGCCCGTGCCCTCGCTGCAAATTCGTGGGAGAATAAGCCATCACAGCTTTCTCAAATCCCAGGGACTGGTCCCGTAATGGTTCGGAAATGGGTTAGTCATGGAGTCCATACAGTACTAGGACTCGCCGACAGGGACTTCGGCGAAATCGAGCGTATTTCGAGCAGGAACCCTCCGTACGGGTTGAGGCTGTTGAAGACTCTGGAAAACTTTCCCCGCCTGGCCATGGAAGCTCATCTAATCGCTGGTACTACAAACTCGTCGCAACTGGAACATAATGTGACGGTAACAGTAAAAGTTAACCTTCACTATTGCAATGCGAATGGCGTGCCGAAGTGGAACGATAAAATACCGGCGGTGACATTCATAGCCTTGACAACAGATGGCAACCTTGCGTACCTTTGGCGAGGGAGCTTGAATAAAATCAACAAGTCTACTGGCCTAGATCTGACATTCCCTGTGGCGGTTAGCGGTTCCGAACAAAAGATATCTTGTTATTTCAGCTGCGAAGAGATTGTTGGGACCCAAGTCACCAAAACACTAGAGCCTAATATACCTGAAGCAGCGTTCAGAAATAGAAAGATCCAACCGATACAGCGTCAGACAGCCACCATAGAATCTTTAGAAGATGATATGGACTATGAGGACCTTCCAGACGAAGACATGTTGAATGCTGCTTTAGCTTCAATGGACCAGAATGACGAGACAGAGTCGCAATATTTCTCGGGTCCGCTGGATGATACTGAAGATTTTCCACTCATCGATGATGTGTTACCCCAAGAGAAGAGTCGTCTGATCTCCGAACCTGCTAAGATGGAAAATGGAAGATGGATGTGTAACCACCTTTGTCGTAACGGCCGTCCTACCGGCGCGGGAAAGCCTTGTAATCACAGATGCTGCCACGAAGGGGTGGATAAACCTCGACCGCCACCACGAGATAAGAAGAGGGACAAAAGTGCTGCGGGAGATGAGACAGTTGAAGGCTACTCTGTCAAAGTCCCAGAAAAGTATTCAGAAGTCAACCAAGCCAACAAGAATTCCAATACCGACAGAACTGGCGGGAAAGGATTGGTAGGATCTATGTCTGCTACTCTTTCTGAGTCCTATGATGCGGGTGGTAAGCAAACGGTTGGTACAAGCCTCCCGAAAACTACCCTGCCTAACACGAAGAGAAAGCGCTCGACAAAAGATGGTAAAGGGATGAGACTCGCTAAGAAAAAAAACAAGGCTATGAATCATGATGTAAGCAAGGATGTATCGGATGTTGAGTGCATCGACCTCTCTACGGACCAGAGCAATTATAAGACTAATCGCCCCCCTCCGAATTTATCGTCCCCCCATGGGACGGGTCAAAACGCTACCAATTTACTGTTAACAATGAACACTTCGAAAGCCCGCTCCACGCTTGTTCCGTCCCAAGAACCCTTTAATAAGATGATAGGGGCTTCTGGGAAAGCGGATGCAGCCTGGGGTGGGAGCAAAGATTATATGCAGTATGATAGCGACATGTTTGACGACGAATTCCCTGATCTTCAAGAGATTGTCGCATCTAAGCAGTTGAAAAATGTCGGAAAATCTCAAATAATATTGAAGAGAGATGAAACCCTATATCCTGGCAATGTTCAAGTCCTGAAAGAAAGCATAGATCATGGTTAGGAATCGAATCTTAGCTTTACTACGGTTGATGAGTTGCAGAAAGCGTCTGAACGCTTCGATTTGCCTTCGGCTAATTCTTCTGGCTATGGTACGCACCTACAATTGAACCCGACAGCTCAGGAGACGGGCGATCGCTCACCACCCCTTTTCTTTGACTCGGACTCTTTTCAAGGATGTGAGAATGCGGAGGGCCCCCAAGAGATCAGTGCAGGAGAACCTGCTTGGTTGTCAGAATTCGACTCTGAGCTTGTGGACAGCCTCCGAGGCTGTGTCAACTTCGTGGATTAGATGCTAACGGAAGGAATGGTTGCTATAGTTACGGATGAGATTATTCGCCTCTTATTCCAGGGGGGTCGGGTTTATGCGTTGAAGAATATGTTACAACGGAAACTTGCACCGGCACTTTTGCTAAGGTACGATCAATGTGCGAGTATAATATAGGTATGTAAGGCTTCTAGCTTATAAACGAATTTTGCCCAAGTGTAGTTGGGGCCCGCGATGATTTGTTCGTGCGTTGTTTTAAGTACCTCAGGACGGCAGGCGATAGGCGGGTACCCGCATAGCCGTTGGTTGTCATCCGGGACTGAGTAAACCGTTTGCGAAGGCACCTAGATATCTGAGCTCCTCCTCTATTCTTCTCGCCTTTTCCGTTATCCTTTTACAACCATATCCCCGCCAGATACGCATACATTTTTGTCTCGAATTAGCCTGCGTGTGCCATCGATTTGACCGACTTGTACACATAGCGGCGCGCATATTCTTATTTTTGTCTCCAATGGATTACGAAATGGGTGTCTCGCTCAAACAAGCAGAAGAATGGGAGGCTTCATTATACCCTGGCGACCCGACTGCCCTAGTATATTTTGCCGCTGAACGAACTAAGACTTGGGAAACTCGTCTCAAGGAATATTATGAGCGGAGAGCGGCGTTGGCAGAAGTCGAGATGAATGCCGACAAGCTATTGCTTCGCTACAGGGAAAAGAAGCGGATTGGCACTGAGTTTCACGGTTTTATGAGCTTGCCTATCATACTGCGCCGTACGATCTACAAGTATCTTCTCGATAAGGGCACCGTTTTCTTACCGAACCTAAAAAGCAAAATGTCAGATATTCCCGACACTAAACACGCTACCTATAATTTCGCGACCGAAGGTCTCCATTTTCCCTACTTACGGTATCGAGGCCTCCCAGGGGACTGGCGCTTCAGGGACAGGTCTGTGACACGTCCTATTGGGTTGATAAGCGGTGTAAGCAGAAGCGTCCATGAAGAAGCGACAACCATATACTTTGGCTGCAACCGCTTCGTCTTCCCCTACGGCCTCTGCAATTTGCCTATAACTTCGTGTTATTTTGACGACAGTGATTTCTGGCACAGGCAGTTTTTCCTGGAGGAAGGGTACCTCTTGCCACCCTATGCACTTCTCCGTTGCGTTAGTTTCACCTTCGACAGGCGAAATATAGACCTCCCATCCTACCTTGAGGTATATAAAGGACATAAGCAATTCCACAAGTTAAGTGGGAATGACAATCAAGAGTCGGAGCCATTACAGCTGATTGTCTATCTGATGAGCTTCCACGATACGATGAGAAGAAACCTACTAGAAAGCTGGAACACTGTCTTTTATGAACTGAGGGCGCTACGTCTCGAGCGATTAGAACTGAGCTTCGAGGAGTGCTACTGTCCGTTTGGGTGTTGTCGGTTAGTCAATGAAGTGCTAGAGCGGCTTCGCCTTATTGAGAACCCATCCACGGTCATCGAGATAACAGGGTGGTATGATGAAAAGGAAAGAAAGATGATTAAGGAGCGTCTAGATAAACTCGCCGAAAAGCATGACGAATTAGATTTTCAATCCGTTATGAAGGAGGATTTAGATTTTCGATTCGTTGGGAAGTCTATTAAGAAGCTCATGGCGGAATACGAAGCCAAAGGGCCTCCGTTTTGAGCTCTGGGTAGACATACAGGTGCGTCTCGGTTGAATTATACGGGAGGTTATTATTCTATGATATATTACTGACGGTAAGCTTCTAGGTTGGTATCGTATATTTCCGAGTATTAATCTATACCAACCCACCAATGTATGTAATAATCTAGGTAGACTCTTATTCCAAATTCAAGGAGTGCTTGCTTCGCCTCCTAGGACAATCCCAACCATACCATCCAGCCTTATAGTCATGACCAATCTATCATTCTACTCCGAAACCCCCATTTCACGTAACAAAACAAATTATCTCACTTAGATAACGTCGCAGCCTCCTCCCTAGGACTTTCTAGCGACGCCTACATCGTTCCAGGCCTTGCGGACGATAGCCGCAGCGTCGTCTCCGAAGAGCTCCCCGGCCTTGTCCACCGTCACGTCTGCGAACTGAATAAAGGTGCAGCGGGAGGGGACCTGGCCGCTCTGCATCGTCTCCCACCAGATTTTGCCGGCTTTCTCCCATCTGTATGGTTCGTTAGCTACTGTATATATTGGCTGAGTCTATTAGGTACTTACGAGTAGCCGCCAAACGCAACGGAAGCGTTGTAGAACGCCTTGTTCGGGATACCCGAGTAGAGATGCACGCCCCCGTTGTCCTCGAGTGTTAGCTTGTAATCTTTGAAATTGGCTGGCTGAGGATCTTTGCCCTAGTAGCAGTAAGTTAGTATCAAGTCTCCTTAAATTACTTGGATGAAGGAGTTCTTACAAAACGGGGGTCGTTGTAGGCTGTTCCGGGAGCCTTCATGCTGCGTAGAGCAACGCCCTTGACGCCCGGCATTAAACAGTATTCGCCGATCAGCCAGTCGGCCTTGTCGGCGGTTTCGTCCTCGACTCTCTGCTTGATCATGATACCGAAGACGTCTGAAACGTGTTCGTTTAGGGCACCGCTCTGGCCCGTGTAGTCGAGAGGTGAAGTGTGTTCGGTAACGGCGTGCTAGACAAGAGTTAACGACATTACTAGGAATTCGTATAGTGGGTATGTGTCTTACGGTGAGCTCGTGGCCAATGACGTCTATACAGCCAGTGAAGTTGGTCAGAAAGTCGTGTCCGTCACCATACACCATCTGGGCAATCTCCGGATCCCAAAAGGCGTTTTCGTAGTTCTGTCCGAAGTGCACCGAGCTTATGACGTGCATGTTCTTGTTGTCGATCGACTTCCAGTTGAATATATCGGCGTAGAAGGAGAGCACACGGCCGGCATTGTCGTAGGCATCGTTGGCGGCCTCGTCTTTGGACGCTTTTTGGCCTTCTACTCGGACCACCTTGCCGGGGAGATGGGATTCGTTGGAGTCGTGGTTGGCATCATACACGGCACGGTAAGTTTTCTCAGTAGTTTCCGAGGCCTGCTCGGTAGTTATACCGGCTTTCTGGTCGGACGACTCGGTACGGAGGCCCTGAGATTCTTGATACTTGGCGTGGATACTTCTAATATGCTCCAAGTCCCGTTTGGCACAAGCGCGGGTGTTATCGTCAACATCTTCACAGTCGGCAATGTGTTGAAGCATATGATCAGGCACTATGCCCTGTCTCTGATTAATTTTAGTGGATTTGTTACCGCGAGGTGCACAGAGTGCTGCGAAACGTTTTTCTCGTTTGTCACAGTAACTCTTGTGAAGGGTGAGGGCACGACGGGCAGACTCGCGGATGTGGTCCTCGTTGTTACTGCTGTCGGCAATAGCGCTAAGCATGTAGGGCGGAACGACGTAGCAGACATAGTGGTGGTTGCTGGTGGCCATTTTGGAAATATATAAAAATGATGGTTGGTGAATAGGTGTAAGTCTTGAGTAGAGACGGAATAGGGGTATGTAGGGAGGTAGAGAAGATAGAGAAGACGAGTTGGAGGACGGAGACGAATAAATATATAATCTCGATATGCTAGGGACTAGTAGACTCGAGGTTCTAGAGGAGGAACTTGGAGTAGTAATACGAGGATAGTTGGATAATGATATCGAAAGCTATGTCACTGGGGATAATATCAAGGGTTTAGATCATGGATATATTCGAAGAATGGAGTCAGGTTTCCTTGGAAATCTAGCGCCACAGAGACCTTAAGTAGGTACGAAGAGTATAACCTACCTAGGCACGTAGATCACAAGACGGCAGGCGGGCTACACGAAAGACCTTGCCTCGATATATTTGTTATACTCTAGCTACCGTAGATACGAGACAGGCATGAGGAGCATAAGGGCAGCTGCGTCATGAGATAAGGATATCGGCGAAAGCACAACTAACAGGACTTGTAAGGTACTAGGGTGTATGGCATGTCTTACTGATATAGCTGTATGTAAGACTACGTAACCTAGGTAGTATATCCTATTCCCGAGATAGTATATTGGTTTGAATCAAGAATAGTGCAGACTACATACACTACTACTGCCGGTATCATGGCCCGTTGTGGTCCACCGAGAAGGAAATATCCACCCCCGTTGGCGGTTATAGGCTTCCAATAGCATGAGCGTGAGCATTAAGCATTAAACACTGAGCTTGAATAATACGTCGCCTTGTTACTACCGTAGCCAATCAAAGCCAATCCTTGCCTCGAACCTGTCCGAATTTGGTCAGAAGCCTGGGGCAGGCGTGGGAGGGGGAGTCTTCGTCATGCACGTTTACGTTTATTTCTGGAACAGAGACAAACAAGGAAGTACCTAAGTCTTGATCGATGAGATACTACATAGTAGCATTTCGCCCTGAGAGTTCCTGCTACACCCGTATATTAATCGTGCAACAATAATTATGATCTATTTCGTTTCACGACGACGGGTGTGACTTGATGTTACGAGGATGACCGAAAAAGATAGAGTGAGGAATTCAGCTATGGTTCGCATGAAATGCTAGTCTCGTGATGGGGGTTGCTTGAACAGGTGGTTAGCCAACGTAATGATACTATAATTCAAGAAATGTGATCACGGCGCGTCGTTACGTGTCAAGGTGTCTAAGAACAAGAAAACGTCTATGTAGAAGTTGGAAGTGATACGTAAAAATGCACCGTAGCTCCACTAACTTTATGGAGACGGGGGCAGTAGACAGGGGCTTTCAGTGGGGACCTTTCTAGCGGACAGGGGGAGTTACATAGCATCATCAGTTTACATACTGGCTTCCAGTTTATAGTAGGGCAGTGTTAGAGCGACCAACGCGTCATGGCGATGTATTATTCAATTCACATATGTACATCAACCTGCAACGTTAGATATGTATTAAACGATTTAAAATGAGAATAATACCTTCAAAACAACATAAATAAAATATACTCGACAAGCTATTCGGCCGACCGAACATCCGCGGTTAGAAACAAGCTCGCTGACTGAGGCCGAGGTCAGCTGGTCTTTGTTCTTATCGTCGTTACATTCGCCCCCCTTTACGGCTTTGACGGGCATCGACATACGTATATCAGCTAGGCCGATAGAGGCGGATATCCCGTTGACTGCCTAACCTATGTATGATCTAATCTCATATCAATAAGTTATAACTTATCTACAAGTAGTGAAGTACCTGTTTACTTTAAGCCGAGATGTTTTGGTGGGAATAGCCTCATCCTGCGTTTAGTATGACATAAACTTTCATGAGTATCGCAGGTCGTAATCTACTATGGTAAAGGGGAAGAAGGTTCAAACACCAAGGAACGAAAGTGTCACCCTTAAATAAAGAGAAAAAAAGAAGATGAAGGGTAAGAGCAGATGTGTCTGATGCAGTACGTATGTAGATGGGATGCTCTTCTCTCACAATGTCTAACCATTGTACGCCTTCTATCGTCTCAAATTTCTCGCTTCATTTTATTTTATTCCGTAGCCTCAACCCTCTCGCTCTAATTAAGGCCTCGTAATACTTAATTGGTGCCATTGGAGATAATTGGAAGGCATATGAAAGTCATTGCGATTCACCCACTCTCGTTTACCATCAATTCAAGCTGCCGTCTCTCACTATCAAACAAACCCCTTTTTGTGTCCTACATACAAAACGACTCAACCCAGCCTCAAGAATCGTTCTAGAGAAGACAGCAAGATGTATTTACCGTCTCTCTTCCTCGCTTACTCTACTCTCGCCTCGGCAACGACATACTTCCTCACCGTCTTCGCCCCGGATACCGAGGTCGACGGCGCACTACTGAATGCCGCCGCCCAGGGCTTCTACACCGGCATCTCAGGGCCCGAAACCTACTGTCCTAAGGGCATCTCGTGTCCTGAGGTGCAAGGATCTTTAGTCTATGACGGCCTAACTGGGATGGCTGTGAGTCTCTTCCTTCTTGATCGAATACTGCTATCTGCATAATTATTGCCGCTGCAGCTTCTCTTTACTCATATAGTGTACGTTTATAGGTCGAAGTCCCCGGCGGCCAGGCCATCTACGTCGCGCCCGAAGGCCAGATAGAATACACACAGGCGCACTCGGCATACGAGCCAGCAGGTTCGTTAACAGGAGGTTGGTTCAACAAGACAGTCTTGTCGGACTGCGATCCTGCTCGCGATGTGCTCGACTTTCTCCCCGTGGACGGATCTAGCACCGGAGGTATTAAACTATGTCCCCAAGTCGAAGAATATATGGCTGGTACAGGTGCCAGTTACCGCTTATATGCTGGGACAGCCGCCTTCAATCTATCCGGTTGCGTCGATGCCGTCGGTCTCACCTTGCACGGTGTTGCGGCGGATTACGGGTGTTGGCAGTACGCCTAACTCGAATGCAAGAGCCGTTACGATTCCAAAATTATGCTTGTTATTCTGGACAACGGTATGTTTGGGGAAAGGAAAAGCTAATGAATCAGCTTGGAACTGTATAGATTTATCCCCGAAGCTTCTGGATGCAGATACTATTCCGAGATTTTGCTGAAGTAGGCTATTGCATGTCCTCTTTATGGATTTATAGCTTGGGACGACTTGGTACGATACTGCAGTAGTATTAGGAGCCGATTTGGAAGGGGAATCATGGAAACACGGGGCGCTGTTTTAGCTTTTTAGTTAACTATATGTCGACAACTTGGTCGTTCCAGTTAGGTATACAGTAAGTAGATGAATGCATATCAGTCCGAGCCTATTATATTACAAGATGACGACCACTACCACTCAATCTAGTAGAACCTCGACATCAAACTCCCGATCTGTCCTAAGCTGGTACTCCGGCAGAGTCGCGGGTCCACAACTCCCTGTACCCAGACCGTGGTGATACCAGTCCAACCTGACAATATGATCATCCCTCTTCCTCTTGCGTAACTCGTACGGGTGCTTACACTCGTCTATATCGCGTGTACTATATGGCGTCACACTAAAACTCGCACCTTGATGTTCTCCAAACCGTGCTCTTAACAGACGATTCGGGTACTCGTCCTCGCCACCCCACCGTGTCCGCAACTCCACCCACCGGATATCCGTGCGGTTACCACTGTCCTGTGGGAACTCGTAATAATTGAACAGCGCGTCGGCTGCCCAACCCCATGTGTTGACCTGCTGCGCGCGCTTCTTGTCGATGTATGATTCACCTGGGCCCCGGCCAAACCATTCTACTACGCGGATGTCGCGTAGTCCGAAGGATAAGCCGAAACGCGCGAATGTGGTGGGGAGGAGGGAGCCGCTGGGTTTGGCTTGTACGCGGATGCTGCAGTGCTCTGATGTTAGTGTGTATGTTATCGTTGTGTCGACGGCCCAGGCTAGGACGGGGGGAGCTACGCGTCCTTTTACGACGACGACGCAGCCGGATTCTGTTTCGGTGGTGGTTATTTGCGAGAAGTGGTGGCGTGTCTGGTGAACTCTACGGTCTATCCATTCTTTGCCGTGGGGCCCGCCGCGGTCGTTGTCCGTTAACGCGCGGTAGAAGTCGAGGGTTAGAGGGACGGTGATGATGTTATGGTCGGGTCTTGAAGTGTGGGTTAGCGAGGATAATGTGCCGTTGCCGGTGTCAAAGCCGAATATGCTACCGGAGCGAATTGTTACGTAGAGCATCCCATCTTTGCGCTGGATGTGTGGACGGTCTGGTGCGGAGAGGGTTTTAAGGAGAGCGAGGGATGGCGGCGGGGTTAGGGGGAGTTCGCCTCGGGCTACGACTCGTCCGGGCGTTACCCATTTACTGCCGGTGCGTGCCATAAAATCTAACTCGAGCCATGTGTCTGTAGAAAGAGTCTTCGGTAAGCCGCCGAGGACCAACGTTGCTTTAGCATGCGGCTTAACGCCCGCTGGGATGAAGATTTCGTTTCCGATCATCTGTTGCCGATCGGAAACGAGGCTCCAATAGCACTTGAGATGGTCTAGAGTTAGAAAGTCATAACGGTTTACAATCGTCACTTCGTTGCCTCTTACGGCAACTACTTGGACCGGTTCGATGGCTTTGCTGTATTCATCGAGACCTGGTCCTGGGTTATGTAGCGAATCGCAGAGTCCGTCCATAACGAAATTGCCGTCGTGAGGCTCGTCGGGTTGGAAATCGCCTCCGTAACCAAAGAACTTCTCGCCGTCTTCGGTCTCGGTGAGAAGGCCCTGTATGATAGCTTATTAGTTCTAACGTAGTAAGAATTGCATCAAGTCAATATGGACTTACGTGGTTTGCCCACTCCCACACGAAACCTCCCATTAGTCGTGGGTATTTGTAGAATGCTTCGATATACTCATGTACGGCGCCTGGGCCATTGCCCACTATAACACACGTCAATAACAGGGAGAGGGGGTATTTTCGATATTACTTACTAGCATGGGCGAACTCGCACATAACGAAAGGCTTCTTCCAATCCTTTTCCTCTGCGTATTTAGTCATCTCATCAACGGATGTGTACATTCGACTAAAGATGTCCGCCGTCCGGGCTTCTTGGTCGCCTTCGTAGTGTATAAGACGTGTCTTATCGATCTTCTTGATGGCGTCGTACATTGCCTGGTGGTTACTGCCGTAGAAAGCTTCGTTTCCAAGAGACCACATGATAATACTTGGATGGTTCTTATCGCGAGTCACCAACTGTACCGCGCGATCTACGTAGGCATCTTTCCAGTCAGGATTATCGGACGTGAAACTCGCCGGATCACCACCAACTTCGCCAAAGCCGTGACATTCAAGATCAGCTTCATCCAATACCCAAAACCCCATCTCGTCCGTAAGATCGTACAGCCTAGGGTCATTTGGATAATGGGAAGTGCGGATAGCATTGATATTGAATGCTTTCATCAGCTGGAGATCGTATTTCAGATCTGCGTACGGGACCGTCCTTCCGGATTGCGCGTTATGCTCATGACGGTTTACGCCGCGGATCTTGATCGGCTTACCATTAACGCAGAAGACGCCATCAATAAGCTCGGTCCTGCGGAATCCGACTTTTTGAGAAATGTATGTAGAACCAACGGACAGTACTAATGTGTATAGGTAAGGTGTTTCCGCCGTCCATTTCTCGGGGTTCTTGATTAGATACTCGTGCTTGTACTGTTGCGCCTGTCTTGTGTGAGAATTGAGGGTTACCGTTTTGCCTTCGCGGTCGAGAAGCTTAAATGTGACAGTCTCGTTGGCTTTGTTCAGCTTAATTTCTATCGTGAGCAACCCATCCCTGTAATCGTCGTCGAGGAGCGTCTGAATATGGATATCTTCAAGACGAACAGAAGGAAAAGAATGCAACCAGACATCTCTGAAGATGCCGCTGAGCCACCATTGGTCCTTAGAGTAAAGTTAGAATTGATAGAGACTGTGTGTCCTATATATATTAAACATACCTGGTCCTCGATATAGCTTCCGTTGCATCGCTGGTAAACCTCGACGCAAAGAGTGTTTTCTAAATCGGGTTCAAGGAACGGGGATACATCAAATTCGCTCGGATTTCTTGAGCCCTGCGAGTAGCCAACTTCTTTTCCGTTCAACCAGACGGTAAACGCCGAATCGACACCCTCAAATCGTAACCGCCATTGATCCCCATCCTTAAGCCTATCCGGCACCTCGAAGCGCGTGACATACCGCCCGCATTCGTTATCGTCATATGGAACGTGCGGGGGATTTACTGGAAAGGGGAAGTTGACATTTGTGTACTGCGGACCCTTGCCAAATCCCTGAAGCTGCCACATGCCAGGTACCTTGATGAGCTTCCATTCCGTGTGGTCGAAGTCAGGCTTAGAGAAGTCTCGGGAACCCTTGAAGGGGCCGGGAGATAATTCGAATCCCCAAGTACCAGAGAGTAGAGCGGCCCTAGATCGGGTCACATCACCAGAAAGAGCATCCTCTTCAGTGTTGTAAATATGAAAATGACTTCGGGGCGGGAGAGTATTTCGATGAATGACTTTAAGATTATCCCAATCAGGGGTTTGTTTAGGTTGAACCTCAGTCTCATTTATTCTAGATTGGCTGAAAGCCGATGAGGCGACATGTGATGGTTCTTGACTAAGACTGAAACTGGAGCTTGTGACATGTAAATCCATATGGATGCTAGTATCCTGGCGGATTACCAAGTCGACCTCATCGGAAGAGGGCTTAGAAGTATTAGAAGGCATGGCGAAGGAATAATCGAATTTAGAAATTTCAATCAAAGCACTGCTAAACTAAACCTGAGGAAAGCTTTATCTCGTAGTCAATCCGACTGCAAGCCAGTAAATGAGATGCGATCGCCTCGTAAATCAGATCCCGCGAAACAGACGCCGTAAGTACCTAGGGTAGGGTAGGGTAGGGAATTCAGGGTTTGGATAAGTTCATAATGTTACTATTTTAGTAGTAAATAACGAATGTAGGTAGTATTCTGAAAGACAACTCCGCTGCGGCGTCAACTGCTTAACTGAGTTAATATAGACTTAGGTAGGTAGTTAGAGGAAACTGTTTTAGAAGTGTTGAAGGTTGGGGATACATAGCGGTATGTTCGCCTGAAATTAGAGTGACGTAGGCTTCTAGCTCGCTAATTGGCTCGGATTGTCCCGTGCTCATGTGGAGGTTGGGGATTTGAGGTTCGAGGTTCGAGGTTGGAGACCGAGCGTAGAATAAGACACCAATAATAGAGTCCATGCTCTACTAACCATAGAGAATCTTCTCATGCCACGGTTATTTATTGAAGCTTAAAATACTCAACAAGTTCATAAGATGATCAGGGCAATTTTTAATATTTATTATCATTTAATATCGTTGTTTCTCTATGCACTTTTTACAGGTATGCAAGGGTTTAATGGGAGACTGCACAGCCCCCAGGCCTCTACTTTACGACTCTACACATTTGTTGAAATGGCCAGACAATCGCCCGCGAGGGTAGACTGTATCATTTACCAATTACGCCATTGAACCAGAGAACGCCGTTGGCCAACCATGATGTTTTCGACTATAGGATCGTTCCAAAACTTGTCAATGTTAGCTTATTTTCAAGAGCCGAGAGGTAAGTAGTAGTTATCGAGGATGCAAACTTACCCGAAAGTCTTCTTGATGCTCTTCACGTAGTACTCTTCCCAGTTGCGCTTTGTCACCTCTTCTTGGCCTACTGGTACGCCACTCCAGGTAACCCTCATCACAGTCACGCCGTCTACATCGTTCTGGTCAAACTCAATCACCTGTTTAGAGTAATGGCCGGCCGGCCATTGGTTTAGACGCCACGTTTGGGTGATCTTGGTCGGTTCCTCAAGTTCTTCATATTCGCCGGAGACATTACCGTCGAACAGCTCGAACTTGCCACCTTTTTGGGCCCCATCAAATCTCTTTGGAGGTGCGCGGGTAAAGGCAGCTAGACGTTGCGGATCAGTGAACGTCTGGTACAACTCGGCAGCAGTAGTTCGGAATTCCTCTTGGTCGGTTACCGTTGTCGTGTTGACGACGCTACCACTGTTCTTCTGGGCGCTAGCACCAGTGTCAGCCTTTGGTGTAGCACTAGAAGGCACATGGTATTTGGGCGCGGTAAATCCACTCGAAGGATTTGTGCCAGCAGCGTGTTGGATATCCTTCCCATGTTCGGCAATCAAAGCTGGTGTAAGATTTGCGAATTCCTTCCGTAGCTGTGGTGTGATCTTAGATCGAACCAGATCCTTCACCGGTTGCTTTTCCTGCGACTCCGAGTAGATATCTATCTCGAACTTTTTTTTTTCAGCGTTAGTACTAGTAATGACTGCTACGTTAACTACGGGATACCTACAACAAAATCATCTTCATCAGTATCATGAGCAACTTCGGGTACCGTGATAGTACCCGAGACGCTCTCTTCTCCGGGGGCGGATCCTGGTCGAAGTTAGACGACTTCCCGCTCACCAATACTCGTAGTAGTTGCCTTACCAGAGTACTCTAAGACGAGCTTAACGTCATAGATGGTAATGACTTTGCCTTTTCGTTGGCTCACGTCAACATCCCCGTCCATGCTGACAACCTTATTAATCTTGGCGGTGACCTCTCCATCTTCGGCCGAGATCTTGGTTAGATTCTCTTCGAACCATTGCCTAGTCCATTCACCGGCATTCTTACTGACCCAATGCCAGTTGTTTGGGTTGTGGAGAACCATGGTGGATTTTGGAGAAGGATAATTCGCACGAAGTTTGGATTTGGTTAAAAAAGCTAGAGAGGCGAGGCTGTGTTAGCAATCGCCAATTCAATAGGAACAATCGGAAGTTGCAAGTAGTGAAGATTATCAGATATGAGTCTCAAGGACTACAGCTATTGGTCATCAAAGAAAGGGAGTACAAGTCGCTCTATGACTGGTGCCAGCTGGTGTATCATCAGAGATTTCACAAACGAGGAAGAATGTGAATGTGAAGAACGTAGAAATAGAAATATAGAAAAAAGTGAGGCTTACTGATGACAGATGGACGGGATATTGTTGACTACAGAATCAATCTGCAAGCATATCTGACGAATTGAATAGAAGAATATATCGGCATGGAGGGCACCCGGCCGACAACAAGAAGATTGTTGTAAGGTTCTAAGGTTAAAAGAAGATGCAGCGGAAAGCTCTAGAATTTCGACGAAGTTTAGGTCGAAGATGAAAAGATTCTGCCAATGAGAAGTGGATATCCCATGTTCGGCGAAATATCGGTCCGTATAATCCATATTTGTGAATATTTGTGAACTTGAAATGTTATGTATTATGTAATCCAAGGTCTACACTAGTGTATCGAGGCGAGCTCCACAGGAATTGTTTTCACTTGCTTACTTCACTTCAATCCTAGGTAGCAACTGCCTCCTAATCTCGGAATTCATTTACATATATACAAACTACTGTAGTAGTTGTCACCTACGTATGACACACTTACAAATCATTACCTATTGATGAGAACTACTATCAAGATTGGACGATCAGACGAGATTAAGCTTTGTAAAATCTCCTAAATTGCAGAATTGCAGAGCACCCGAGGTGCGTGTGAGGTGATACGGTACGAAATATGTTCTAGCTCGCAGATAACCACCAGTAATTATCACGTCTCAATCCCGGATGTTACATGCCACTGCGCTTCTACCAAGCAGTCAAGCTTCGTGAAACTAAAGACAATATATTAGAATTGCTAGGAGAGCCAGGTTCTAGCCCCTAATTCTTTCTACATATGCAACTCGGGTTACATCTGGACCCTCAATTAACAAGCGTCGACATGCTTATATTATTGTCATACATATTTTATCATCTTCAGTGTATAATTAGATACCTACCTCTATGTAAGACGTTGCCACTTATGTAATGGAACAAGTTCAAAGTTAGAGCCTTGCAGTGAGAACCAACCCCCTCAGGTCTCATCTTCGGGTCGGCTTCTATCCGCTTTTAAAATATCGAATCGAATCGGCCAAGGAAATTCATTCGTTTTTAAAATTTCCACGTGCAAAACATACCACGGCTATGACGGATCGTATACTATTTATATTAGCCGGTCAATGCTAACGAGCAGTCGGACTATCCGTACCTGGCAGGTCCTTTACCGTGGGCAGCGTGGGGATCAGGGTGCGGGGTGACTTTTCTCGAACTATTTTTCTGGAATCACCATGAGCATACGGAATACCTAAAACGTAGATACGAATATTTACTTCGCAGTCAAACTACAAAAGGGCTTCCGTGCAGTTAGACTCAGAGATTCTTAACATTATACTACAGTTCTTGGATTATATATGTGCTTATATCCTTGGTGTGTTGCTCTGCAGCGGGAGGCAGATTTCGCGGGCGATCGATGCATATATTAGACAACGACAATCTTCACTTTATATGTATGGACGGACTACTTTAAGTATGAGGATAATTGTTAGTCCTGCATTACGATTTTATACATATTAGCAGGAATATAATATATAGGTAGCTTCATAAACTTTCCCAATGGTGGTGCAGGTACGGATCCGTACACTTACAGACTTAGAGGTCCAACACAAAGGATGGTCCAATCACTTTCTATCCTATCCGTGCTAAAGTGGAGAGTTCTTTCAAAGCTGCAACTCTTAAGCGCCCGCAGACCAGAACCACGAGGAAGAAGAAAATCTTAACCAATAAGATGCGATCATGGTCTTCCGTTTCCAAATATAGATAGAGGTCGATCCACACATCCAACCAATAGTTTATTGTTGTTGGAATATACCAAGTTCGAAGTACCGGTCCCCCTGATCCCAAGTTAGTCGGCCCACCGGGACCACCCTTCAGCACTTCCTCGATGCTTTGCAGTCCTACCAAATTCCTCATTCGCTCGTTCAACTGCATCTTGATTAAAAGCATCCCCAACGGTATACATGGGGGGTCCATTGGGATGCAAATGTAAGGGAACCGGCTTAGATTAACCATGCTAAGGTCATTTTTATATGAGATAATAACGAGAACTGTGTAGAGGCTCGTACAGGGGGTGATCTTCTAACAAAATCCTACAATGGTCAAGATTCGGGACTTATGCAGTGCTATGAGCTAGGCTGTTACATCAGGTAGTATACGATGTATTGTCTGCAGTTTTAGCATCTCGATTTGCCAAGACGAGCCTTAAGACAAGACCTACTCAGACACTAAAGGGGGAAGGGGTAAAACATCGTACGGTTCCTATTCCTACTTGTTAATAGTTATATGTACCCAGGTAAGGTAAGAGGAATATGTGTAAGCGGATAAGGTCAAGGTCACGTCCGTTCTCTCGGAATTTACCTACGCCCATCAGCCATTAACCCGTTGATGAGCCTGTGCAGCCTATGCAGGCATCCAGGGATCTGCCAAGAAAACGCCCCGTCCCCCACGTCTTTAGACCAGGGGATCTAGGATCATCACCCTATCCAGTTCATCCATCGCTTTTTATCTTTTACACCCTCTTCTCCCACATCGCACAGCATCTTCTCAGCCGCGCCTTTACCATATCCGTCGGCCTTTATATATTCCTTCGCCCCCTATACAATATACAGAATATCGGGTCATGGGAGTAATTGGTGACAAGACAGTCTCCCATATCCTCGGCTGAAGGTCGAACAGGCGAAGGTAACGCAATAAGCGTCGACCGTCAGTCCATTTAGGATATAAACATAAAGGGCATTTAATTAACGTCCCGCCCGCGCCAGCACCCATCCCTGACTTCTCTGCTGTCGCCCTACCCGCGCGTCTCCATTGACACGGGCTACGGCCTCTATAAGTGAAGTTATGATGACCAGTCCGCGTGATGGTACAACCTCTCGACTTCGCCAGGCGCTCAATCCATTGCGGACGACAGCTCTCGGGGGTTACCATAATCAGCTAAACACACCGCACTCTGCCGTGTCAATTACTTCGTCGCATACTTTTGCTGGACTCCAAACGCCAGCCAGCTCAATACAGCCTTACAACCCTCAGGAATGGGCGCCCACATCTGCGGTGGGCCCTGAGCGAGCGCATCAGTACCCGCCGCCGTTGACACTAAATCCACAAGGTAAGCCACTACTTATCTGATGATATTTCGAGTTTTTCCGCGGTGAAAGCAAGCTGACGGGGTTGAAAGCGCCAGTCCCGGCGCCACCTCCGCCTTATTCCCCTCCCCGGAGTCAAAGGCCGAATAGTACGGTTCATGAAACGCCGCCAGCAAATATCTCTGCTGCGAGGATTCCCGCTTCGAGTGTTCATCGTCCTTCACCGGAGCCAC